GCTTCTGTCTCCAGCTTTCTAATATTGATTGCCACCCACCCATCACCACCAGCAGCTCTACTAACACCGTAAAGCCCCAGTTTGAAGAAGGCTATTGCCATATGGCAGGCCCAATGTGCTTTTCTTGTTGGCATGAGCTTGGCTACAGTAAGGCCTCGTAGTTATCTGGTGTTGGGCTAACCTTCTCTGGAAACGACTGTAAAGGCAAGTCAGAAACAAGTTGTAGGGAGGCCAGTCCGTTGGGCTTATGTTAGTGTGTCAACCTACCTACCTACCTTCCTTCCTCCTACTTTACTTTTGAGGTCCAAAATTATCGGGTAAGGCTATCCAAATAAAAATGTTCTGTCAAAACATAAGTAAAGAATCTAGAGCAGTGAAAAATAAAAGTAATGATTGTTCAGAGGGAGAGAGAGAGAGAGTTTGAGAGAATGTAGAATAGCAGCGGTCGACAAGGGGCACGCCAGGCGGCAGGAAACAGAGCACGTCTCGACAATACCCAACTATGCGTGGCGGCAGTTGTCGGCTCGATTACCTCACCCGCCCTCCCTCACTCTCTCCAATCAATATTTCCTCTTTTCACAGCTCACTTTAACCACGCCCCCGCACCCCCACCCCTACCCCATCCCAAAACCGACCCCCCACTCACACAAATGCATCAATACAAAAAAAAAATTCGTGCATTTTTAAAAAAAAATTACTTAAAAAATCATTAACTATTATGCTTTGTACGATACAATTAAAAAAAAAAGGATAAAAAATTAAAATAATAGATAAAAAAAAATAAGAGGGATAAACAATTGAATGAATTAGTTTTTCTTTCAACTCATTAAAATCTTTCTCTCTAAAATTATGAAAAAAAATATATAAAAAAATAATTATGTATATTAAAATGTATGTTATTTACCTATACATTCTTTAATATATGTGTACGAGTGCTTTCCTATAATAGTTTTAAGATAGTCTATCCTAGGGTGTGCCTAAATGAGAATCTTGAAACAATCAACGAAGTTAAAAAGGGATCAGAGATGTACCTGACTTATTCTCTTCAATGCTTAAATCAATCAGTACACAAGGCTGAGAGGATATATGTACAACTATTTTAACATGCATACATGTGTTAATTGAAGTATTTATACATCTAAGGGCATGTTTGTATCAAGAAATTAGTTAGGTGGGATTGGAGTATCCATTCTAATTCATTCCGGTCTTTTTGATTTTGATAGGCATAATTTACTATCTTTTTCCATTCTACACCATATATTGGGTGACTTTTTCACATTGCACGTGGGTCTCACAAAATAAAATGATTGCATTTAAAATTAACTTGAATGACCTTCACATCTATGTAAACTATGAGGTATTAAAAACGATATTGTGGTAATTTACATTGGAAAATGTTATGTTTATCACAAATATTTCATACCAAATGATGTAGTACAATCTCTGTCATTGAATATTAATGAGACTTACTTATCTAATAGAGAAAAATTGTGTCACATCATTTAAGATGGAGATTTAATAAAAAAATTTAGTAAGCATATATAGCATTACCCATTTACATTTCTTGTAGTCCCCACAATAAAAAAAAAAGATTCTATTTGATGTCAAATGACTTTAATACCCTTATCTTAGTATAGAACATAGGTTTTGTAACGGATAATGTTGTAATTTATCGTTGTAATACCCTGTGTTGATTTATTACCTCATTATTATACCACCCTTAGGTGATATTAATTAAACCCTTTTACATGGAAATATTTACATTATAGAACCGAACCAATATTATTGTTACATTTTTGTATTGCGTCGATAATAATATAACAAACAAAGTATAAGTGGGTTCTATGTACTATTTTACTCTATTCCATCTCTTAATACCCTATATATTCAACGAACAAACACACCCTAAATGTGATGACATGACAGATATTTGAGTACTCACAACATAGGTGTGATAGTTTACAATCATCGAGTTGCACAATAAGTGTTTTATGTCATATCTCATAAATGTCTAACGATGGGGATACAATCAAACTTGACTTCTATAAAGAATCGAACATTTATGGCTTTTCGCCCCTGAACACCAAGTCGTCTCAAACATCAAGTGCTTGACGCCGAATACTCATGATTTATCATTGAGCATTTATGACTTCATGCCAAGCAAAGGCCTTGCATCTGTCACTTCCCAATTACAATTAATTTGTTGGAATTAATTGTGCACCCGTTCGTCCCCATGTACGTTATAGTGACTCAATCTAGGAGATGCACGTCTCCTCTAAATTCATTCTTATAGTATACATTGAGTATTGAATAAAAGAATTTTTTTGATGTTTTCCATTTTATCTTTTCTTCATCGAGGATTGAATGAACTTGAAGGAACATCTAGCATTGAATGAGCCCTCATAGAATTAATTTTTTTTTTCATTTTCCAATCATTTGAATTTTTAGTTTATAAAAAATCTATGACTTGTTGTTTTAACTAAGATAAAAAGAGCTGATTGTTGATATATGATTTATAAGCTCCTTGTACTAACATGAAAATAAAATAATTAATAATTCGTTAGGGTTAATGTCAAATCATCTAATATAATTGATTGATGATGGTTAACCCAAAACCCGACAAGTAGGCCATAGGTCCTCATTTTTGCAAAGCTTCAGCCGGACGGACTGTAGTTTTTTTTTTTTCTTTTCACCAGCGAAGCTGTAGTGTTTTTTTCCCCCTCCAGTTACTGTATCTCCACACATATATCATAGTTTTGGTTGTTAAAGAAGAAAAGGAACTTACATATGGTGTATGAATGCATATGGGCATTGCAAAAGTTTATGATCTCTTTCAGATTGAAGTTCAAAGCACGCCATGCACTTGATGAAAAATGCAATGGTAAAGGGCAACACAGAACCAGTCCTCAAAGAACTGCCCAACAAGCCTAGTCTAAACTAAATATAATTAACTTTCGCTGTCCCAAAAGATTAGGCATACAAAATAGTTTTTCTTATATACCGAGAGACTAGGACGTGGTTCGCCCAAACAAACAACAAAATCAATTTTATTGACAGTTGATTGCAAGATTTTATTATTGCTGCAGGAACAGAATAGCGCAAAACCTTTAGATATTGATCAATTAATCATGTGAGAACGTGGTGAACACCTAAAAACATAGTTATTAGTGTCGAAAACTTAGTCAGCTATATCAAGATTTCATTATTGAAGTGTTCTACCCTCTTAAAAAGAACACGTTACATTCACACCATAAAGCTATAGAAGCTAGTGAGAACAAGATTACTTGACTAGGAATCTACACAAATGACTTCCAATAATTGTTTGGCCACCCACTCAATGTGGGTTTGCCATCTTTGGATTCTGTGTGTAATGGGATTGTAGATGAGTATGTGAGAATGTATGAGAGAGAGATTCTGTAAGTTTCAGCACAAGAACTAGTTAGATACACTTTCTTTCTTACTGGGACTTGAGATTGGTTGAGAATGTGCTTTGCTAGGTAATTATTTTCCTTAATTTGTTTCTGCAAGATAGTTTGCACATCGAAATAGGAAAACTAATGATTGGGATTCACTGCTCATTATTTAGATGAAAGGGAAAGCAAAATAAGAAAATTCATATCCAATATGATTGATGCATTATGCAAAGATACCCTTAGACCAAAATTGAATTTTCTTAAGTTTGAGCCAAAATTAATGTGGGACTTAAGAGGTATTCTTAGAGAAATTCATAAAATGAAAGAGATTGGAGCAAACAACATTAAAGGAAACGGAACATAAGAATTTGCTTGGTTTGACACATCTTGCCTACATCTATAGGCAAAAGCCCCAAAAGACATCATCTGATGTATTGTTTTCTTGTGATTATAGACAAAGAACTCAATCTTATTTATAAGATAAAAAATACATATAAAGATAAAATATTATACACTTATTATCATTTTGCACAAATTGATTTTGCACACCACCTGTCAAGTGACTAATGATTAAAGCAGTAATAAAGTGGAGAAAGATAATACGTTAAACGAAACAAAAATTTATAGTGGTTCGATCAACGTGACCTACCACTAACTAAAAAGATTGAGGCGGTTTACTAGTAACTAAAAAGCTAATTTGGTAGAACTGACGTCATCTTCTCAATAGATGAGACAGTTACGGCGCTCCCCATAAAATTCGGTCAAAGGATGACGTGGTAATTGACTTCTTTCAAGACGGCGTGGATGAAACTCTTGGATGACCTTTATTTCAAAGTTGCTAAGATGAGACTCTTGGTATGACCCTTATTCCAAAGTGACTTGGATGAGGTTTTTGGGATGAACCTTAGAATAAGGTGACTAAGATGGGACTCTTAATTTAAGTTGAGCTTATAATATGAGTTAAGCCCTTAGACATGACCCATCATCATCTACACTTACCCTAACTAGGTAAATAGTGCTAGATTTCTAAGCTTCTATCATCATATCCCTAATGCTGCCCCATGCTTGGTACACTGAATGAGCTATAGTGTCCACCTTGAACTAAAAATGAAGTATGCTTCAGGACTGTAGCTTGCGCTGTGCTTCGATACTGTTGAAAGCAATTCTGTCAAATTTAAGCAAAATTTATCGGGATTGTAGCAGTGTACACACAATTATTAATATACATAGAACTCATCTGCCCACCAATGGTTATGTCATTCAACTCAAATTATTCTCTTGATCTTTCACTGTTAATAATTAAATTAACAAATTAGATCAATTTTATTGGTACCAGTAATGTTACTCTTACTAATATTTTTTCTACTTTGTCCTTTCTCTGTTGTCCAAATTTTTTGATTTAGAGTGACTTTCTACTTTAAAATCTTTAGTTACTTTCACATTTTCTTGATTTATCTCTTGGAATTATGAAGGCATGCCACCACTTTTCATCCACAAAAGATCAATTTCCCTTTTCTAAGGGGACCAAAGTCACAACGACATAATAAACCTAAGAAACGACCACGAAAAAATCTCAGCAAACCCTAAAGACAAGCCACCAAAAGCTTCCAAAACCTCACAACATGCAGCCAGAAAATTTCCCTGAAAGTGGTTACTTTAACCGGTTTTTGTCCGGAAAAGGGACGACGGACGTTGAAACGTACTCATATCCGGCGAACTATGAGCTTCCGGCTAAAAGTTCTTGCAGTTCCTCGTTTTGTCCTTGGGAAATATCTGGATTTACGGATACACCAGAGGCTCGAAGTCTAGCTGCTTCCAAGAATCACAAAGAAGCTGAAAAGAGACGTAGAGAGAGAATTAATTCTCATCTTGATAGGCTAAGAAGCCTTCTTCCATGCAATGCCAAAGTATAATCTCTCTCTCTCTCTTTCCCCCCAAATTTCTGTGTCGGTGTGTCCTCTGATCTCAAATATTCTATGTGTGGGCTAGATTAAATCTCTACGTCTCTTAGTTTATTTATTTATTTTATTTGTTTAATTGGGTTTTGCATTGAACTATTTTAGCAATTGACTCATTACAAATGCTTGAATAGCTTTCAGAATTATATTTTATCGGAAGCTTTCGGAATTTTTATAGAACTTAATTTGATGCAACTGGTAATTTGTGCTGCTTCAACTAGAAAGAGAGAAAGAGAGATTGGTTTTTGTTGAGCCTGCAATACCAATGGACAAGTGGTCAAGGGATTATTCATTAGCTTCTCTTTTTGGTCTTCAGATTCAGATAGACCCAAAGAGCCTTTTGAAGCTTTTATGTGAAAAAAGAATCAAATCCCTTTATTCCTTATTTCAAACGGATCATCATTGATAGGTTTGGGAAAGTTGTTCAACTTTTCAAAATTTGGGTTGCTAATTTTCATCTTGCTCCCAAATTTGTTTGCCATTTCATTTATCAGACAGACAAAGCTTCACTACTAGCAAAGGTGATTGAACGGGTTAAAGAGCTGAAACAAGAGACCTCAGAGATCATGCAACTTGAAAACGTCCCATCTGAAAGCGATGAAATCACTATACATACCGATGATAATGCAAGCTATGGAAGATTATTGATAGAGGCATCATTGTGCTGCGAAGACCGATCTGACCTAATAGTTGACCTAATTGAAACGCTCAAATCTCTCCATTTAAAACCCTTAAGAGCGGAAATGGTTACATTAGGTGGAAGAATTCGAAACGTGATAATTGTTTCTGGTGAAAATGATCTAAGCACAGAATCAGTTGAGTACTTGAAAGATGCATTGAGATCTTTGATCCAACGTTCAAGTTCTGAGTCCGTGGATCGATCAAAAAGGCGAAGAGTCTTCAACCGCCAGTTGATTGCGTAGGAAGTAGAATTCATATGTATTTATCATTGTTAATTTCATTGTTTTTATGTATGGGTTGGTTTGTATGTGTGGAGTGTACGTAGTAGTATGATTTAGGGTTTGAATATATCAAACATGTCATGTAAGAATAACTTCACTACATGGTTTTGCCTTGCGATCATTGTTGGAACGCTGTCTATGATAATTTTAGTTATTTTGGCAGTCATTTTTAGCTACAATCATGTGTGTTTTCTTTCATGCGTGTTGGTTTTTGAATTTTTTTTTTTTTTTTTTTGTGGGCGTGTAGTTTTTTTTGAGTTTAACTAAGTATTGTTTGACCATGGTATAACAAAAATGGTTAGTTTGTGCATTGTGCACCTTTATTTTTTTTATTTTTGTTCAATAGTCAGGTGTCTGAGTTAGCTTACGCCTATCTCGACTAATATATTTTTCGATCTAGTCAAATGCAGGTCATACATGTTGGGACTAGGCTATTCATGAACAATAATTCTCGTATGACCTGACTACAAAAAATTATCAAAATTCAAACTCATAATGTTTGCATTTACAATTCGTCATGTTACTACTTGAACTATCCCTTAAAAAATTACACCTTGCTTGTGGGCATGAATTTCATGTTAGCCCAATGACTAACGTCCATTACAATTTCAACAACTATCGTTTTATGTTGCTCCTAAACTATAGAGTAATACTTTTTGAACTTAAAAATCTGACTTAATTTGTTGACATAATAATGTGATTTCAGCAGAATTATTAAATCAACACCAAGTTTCAATATTTGATAGGCTTCACAGTCAATCCAAAGGTCATATTGCATTAGGTCAGTAAATTAAGTTTTAATAGCATTGCTCTAAACTTTATGATAATGTTTATTCTATCTTGACATGGACATAATTTCACGTTCGTTCAATGATTACTTGACGTTTGATTTTCGGATAATATAAAATCAATTCAAATAATTAAAAAGGCGATATGAGAATTTAAATAATTGAATGAAAAAGATTGATCCAGCTAATTAATAGTTGAGTAAGTTTAAGTATATTTGTCCTATATTTTAACTCAAATATCAGTAGTTTTGTGATGTCCATTGACCGTAAAAGAAAATGCTTCAATAACTAGCTACTCGAAAGCACTTTGAAATTTTAGATTAGCTTTCGTGATATAATTGTCCAATAAAATGGACTTTATAGTTTAGGGTCTGAAACCTTGAAAATGAACTAATGTGTGACAATGGTGAAAGCAAAATGGTTCTGCTAGTTATTAAAACATTGAAATTGGCGTTGGTTTGGTTGAAATATTACTAGCAATAGTTTCAGGGTCTGAACATATAGGTGATTCTTTGGCTTTTTGTATGAAAAAGCATAAGAATGGAAAGATCTGGGGTGGTGTGATTGAGCAAGAAATTGAAGTTCTTGTAGTTCCAAGACACTATACTGGGCAGACAGTAAAGTTATCTGGAGGACAAGAAGTCTGTGCTGGTTTTCTGAACGAACAATTAGGGATGACATTAGACCAGAAAAAAATGAGTATTCATTAAAATTAGTCTTTTTAGATCAGAGATGAAATATACGTGTTGGACGGTAGATATATATAGGAATATCTGTATAAATCCGTACGGGAATAAAGGCGGGGATGGACTAAAACTCATCCTCGCCCCACCTCCACCCCGCTAAACCCGTGATATATATATATATATATATATATATATATATATATATTACATATCACAAATACATAAACACCACCCACTTATTAACTACATTTATGCAATATAACAAATCCCACCCACCCACTTTACATTTGTTATACAAAATATTTTTGTGAGTTTTTAGGTTTCATCTATTTGTTATATAATGGGTTTTCAATTTTTTTCTTAAAATCATAGAAATTAATTGTTATGGCTGGAGACCGTGATGGGGACAGGGATTAAAATTTACCCGTGAGACAAGAACGGGAATTAAAATTTTCTCGATTAACGGGGGTAGACCTGAGCTAGACAAATATTTTTGAAGTAGGTACGAGGGCGGAGACTCCTCTTTTGCCCCTGCCCCAGTCCACTGCCATCCCTACTTTACTCATAAGGGAATGACTTTGGTACGTACAAAAGTTACGATTTAATAAGCATGAATTACAACTCAATTTTTGTTAAGTCACTGACCTTTCTTCAATCGGGGGTAAGGTCAAGTTTTACCACTTAGAAAAGTTAAAACCAATCCTAAAATCTTGTGATTTATCCCAACATTTTAGGATCAATCCCCAATGACCCCATTTTGTCATAACCTCATCTAATTCAGTGGCAACCTCATCCGATTGAGTCATCACTTTTGATAAATACCAAGAAATAACTATTCGATACATAGTTTTTTCTACTCGTAAAAGATAAATAAAGATGTCATTATCTAGTCATACAAGAGCAAAATATATCTCTTCCTCTTATATTGTTGACATTGAATGTTATTGACGGGAGTTTAGGTGGCTTGACAGTAATGAATGGACACGTGGATAGTTGCAGCCGTTAAGGAGCTCAAAGGGTGCCTGGGAAAGGCACCGAGGAGTTATAACCTGGAGGGCCGAGGGTGCCCCTTAGGGCCTAGCATTAAAAAGGATAAGACAGCTCATTAAGGCAGTCTTGAGTGACTATTACAAGGTCATTAATGAACATTTATGTCCTCGAGAAATGTGAAGATAGTTATCATTACAAGGTATTAAGTGTCATTACGCCAACTTGATGTCCTCGGCGAACCCAAGGGTGCTTATTCTCAAGTAGTGAACGCTCAGGCGTAGGTGTGAAGTGTCGAGCAGAGGTATTAAATGACCGGGGATTGGGCCATAAAGGCTCGGTTGTTGCTGAGCAAGGGTCCACTCACTTGAGGGGATTAGTCTTGTGAAGATTTGATGGGATGACAGGGTCTTTGAGTCTCATCTCAGAATTTAATAGTCTGCACTCATATCCAAGCATAATGAGTGTCTGTCATCATTTCAAACTCATGTACAAATACCCTTCAAAAAACTGGTCCAAGGTACGCAATTAGTTGGGTACACACTTAGCCCATTTTCCTAATCCTTTGTTTTAGGTTCAACATCATTCAAGACTGTTTCATGTATCGCTATCTCAACTCATTGCAAGAATTCACCCGTGCAATTTGGGGTCGTTTGTGGGAAATAACGGACCAGCTTTTCCCATAGCGATAATGTCATAGTGAATACACGGTCCCAAGGAGATCTAGGGGGTAGCCTACATGTGAGAAACACAAAAACTAGCTGGCTCCCAGTAACCACTGAATCAGACTCCTTGAACCAGTCGATTGGAGCTTAGCACGTCTCGCAGCAAACACTACCAGTGGACCAGATCTTAGGGGGACAAGAAATATTGGCTTGTGAAATCATCGAGTTGATGGAAAAATAGATAGGGGCCATTTGAAGCGGCTTGAGAAAGACAACGCCAACGTGCGTACTCTGCTTGATGATTAGGAGCAGTCTAATAATACTAGCTAGCGAAGCAGTAGGCATGGGGACAGGAGTATCCATTGGTGTGACTCCCGGGGCACGAGGTAGGATGCCCCAAGGAGAGGCCTACGTGAACACTTGGGCGAGAAACGTGAGCCTCAAAATTACAAAGGGAATGCCCCGAGGAAAGGTTCGAAGGGAGCAAGAAGTGAAAATTGGATCTATCCCATGGGGATCTCCTCCACAGACTCTCGGACGGTGCAGGGGCAGCAGAGTCCTACACTAACTCAACTGCAAGGGGGCCTAAAAGTAAGAGGCCTCAGGAAAACCCCTATTTATGCTTGGATGCCAAATGCCAAAGACCCCTCTAAAGGGAGGTTGAGGACACTGAAGATGAGAAAATCGTCTTGTCGTTCATTTGAGCTATTAGGGTGATCGATATGCCGAAGAAGTTCACCGTCCCCCATTTCAAGGTTTATGACGGGAGAACAGATCACAAGGGTCATCTACGGCACTATAAATAATTGATGTCCATCTATGACACTGACCAAAGATTGTTGTGCCGAGTGTTCCCCATGAGCCTGGGTGACACTACCACAAAATAGTACAAGAGTTTGGCCCCAGAAAGTATTAAGTCCTAGAAGCAGATGACCGAGCTATATGTTGCTCGATTTATCACCTGTAGCAAAAGGCCAAAAGATATTGACGCTCTGCTAACACTCAAACGAAGAGGTGGAGAGACCCTTCGGTAGTACACAATTCGATATTGGGAGGAGGTGAATGAAGTTAAGGCATGCTCAGAGGACATGGTAGCAACAATATTCTGGCTAGGGTTGTCCCGAGACACTAATCTGTATCGATCTTTGACTAAGCAAACTCCGGTGGATATGAAGGAGCTAATGTCTCGAATAAACAAGTATGCGAAGGTGGAAGAAAAGTCAGTTATGCCCAAGCCTAAGGTTCTCGCATTGAAGAAAGAGGATAAGGAACCACTCGTTAGGAGATGAGCACCATCCCCTATTCCAAGACGCATGTCCTTCCAAAGGGTGAGCACAGTCTTCAAAGAACTCATTTACAAGATACTTCACAAGATAAAGAAGGAGCATTTTTTCAAGTGGCCACCCAAGAATCAAGGGGATCCGTTCTCTAGAGACTCGACGTCTCGGTGTTCTTACCATCAGGATGTTGGGCATTTGACTGAGGACTACAAGGTGTACAAATCATTCCAAGAGCAGCTGGTCCGAGAAGGTCATCTCGAGAAATTTATTGATGGCGCAGCCCCGAGGGGCTCGATAAGGGAGGGAGTGAGCATAACCCAAGAAGTGGTGATTGTGATTGAAGTAATACACGCTTACACGGTGGACAAACCGCCTTACAATTCACTCTAAGCCGACCTCCAGAGAGTTGTGCAAGCCATCAAGGTGGAGGAAAGCAGCTTTAGGGGGGCAATCATCTAAAAGACCTCCTCTTGAATTCGAGACCATTCATTTTTTTGACGCCAACCTAGATGGGTTGGCCCTTCCACATGAAGACGCCCTAGTGATCACCCTTCGGTTTGAGAAACTTGATGTCAAAAGGATCCTGGTAGACTCGAGAAGTTTCTCCGAAGTAATGTACGACAACCTCTTTCGTAAAATGGGTTTCGCTCAGAAAGACTTGAAGCCCGTGAAGACCCCCCCTCGTAGGGTTCAACAGTTCGTATGTCCTTCCCCTCGAAAAGGTTACGCTCATGGTCACCACTGGGGTTGTCACACTCCAGATTGAATTTGTGGTGATAGACTCTAACTCCCCATCCAATGCCATTATGAGCAAAACATGGTTACACACAATAAAGGCAGTGCATTCATCTTATCATCAGAAGATAAAATTTCCCATACCGAGGGGAGTTATTGAAATTTGCGGTGATCAAGCATCATCAAAGAGCTATTTTTACACAGTAGTAAAGACCAGGCTCAACGCTAGGTCCCAAAAGCATGGCCCCGATGTAGTGTTAGCCAAATAGCAATCACAGTTCGATTGGCCAGGTGTTGATGATCCCATTACAGACCCAGCCGATTAGCCTACAGAGGCTGTGGTTAAGGTCCTTTTAAATCCCAGGGACAATGAGAGATTTTTCTTGATTGGGGCTTCGTTGGGCAACACCGAGAGGTCTAATATGATGGACTTCCTTTGTCGGAATGCCGACGTCTTTACATGGACCCCAACCGAGATGACATGGATAAGTCCTGATGTGATATGACATTAACTTTATGTTGATCCAGCGTTCAAACTCGTGAAGCAAAAGGCTCGTTGGTTGGCGCTTCACCACGTATAGGCGGTTGACGAAGAAATAGACCGGTTGCTCGGGGCTAGATCAATTAGGAATGTCTAGTTCCCCGAGTGGCTGTCAAAGACAATGTGTGCAAGGAAGAGAGGTGGAAAGTGGCAAGTTTACGCGGATTTTACAGACTTGAACAAGGTGTGCCCCAAAGATGAGTACCCTTTGCCAAAGGTCACTTAGCTTGTTGATGCGACCGCGAGGCATGAATGTATTAATTCCATGGATGCCCAAGAAGGCTATCATCAAATCCCGTTGCACAAATTCAATCAAGAGAAAACGACGTACATCACATCCTGAAGGATATATTGTTACACGGTGATGTCGTTTGGTTTGAAAAATGCAAGTGCTACTTATCAGCGCCTGATGAATAAGAGATTTAAGTGATAACTCGACATCACAATGGAAGTATATATTGATGAAGTATTGGTAAAGAGGAAGGTGAAAGCCGACCATCTTCGGGACCTCGAGGTCACCTTCGTCATGCTCCAAAATATGCCTGAAGCTCAACGCTTCGAAGTGTGTGTTTGGGGTAAGCTCGGGCAAATTCTTGGAATATCTTGTTACTCATCGTGGCATAGAGGTCAATCTTCATCAAGTACAGGACATGTAAGATATACAAAGGCCAAAGATCGTCAAGGACATACAAAAATTAACAGGGATGCTAGCGGCTCTCAACCAGTTTGTCTCCAAGTCCTCGGATAGATGTAAGTCGTTCTTCGCCATGCTTAAAGGGGCAACGAAGAGATATTGGGGTGAAGAATACGATCGCGCACTAGAGGGAATCAAGGAGTATTTGAGGTGCCCTCCAACTCTATCCATTTTGGTGGCAGGTAAAGTTCTAAACCTCTACCTATCCGTCTCAAAATAAGCAATCAATGGGGCTCTTATAAGGGAGCACAATGGGATACAGAGGCTAGTCTATTATGTAAGCAAGACCCTACTTGATGCTGAAACTAGGTATCTGCCAATGAAAAAGCTTATACTAGCCTTGGTCTTCTCGACAAGGAGACACCATTTATAGGCCTATCCCATAGAGGAATGACCGACCGGCCCCTAAAACCCATACTTCACAAAGCAGATATGTCAAGACGACAGGACGTGCAGCTAAGAGAGTTCAAGATAAGCTACAAGCCCTGTAATTCCATCAAAGGACAAATCCTTGTTGATTTCATTGTGGAGTTCTGTGTGTTTGAGTCTCCACCAGAGGGGAAACTAGCAGCTTTTGACCATGATGACGTTTGGAGTTTGCATGTGGATGGATCCTCGAACACAAGGGGGGCAGGTGTAGGTGCAGTCTTGGCCAATTTTGGAGGATTTATAGTGGAGCGAGCTATCAGACTCGGATTCAAAACATCTAATANACTTATTGTACCTGAACAATTCCAATGTGCAACAGAACACCACGTAGTCCAACAGCGATTGAGGCAGCAGCCATGACCGCAGGACCTGTGACAAATCGAATAGCCATGGAAAAGGCCGCAATCGAGTTGCCACATACAATGATTTTAGGCTGTAATGCCATGAACAAACCTGCGGTTCCACAATAAAATAAATTTCCATGCTGCAAATGAGGACGCAAAATCACATTTTCTCAACCAATACCACCCCGAAAACATGTAGAATAAGAATGAAATACTGAAAGTGGTTATAAAGTCGATATACCAAGACTAAACATAGCCATTCCAAGACCAGCATCAGACAGAATAGATATCGATTTGGCTATTATAGCAGGCATCTGAATACCCCACCTGCAATAGATTAAGAACAATGATGGGAATTGGAAGCATACAAAAAATTGCTTCGAGTCATGTAGGTGATTTGATTTTGCATACTTGTAAGAGACTAAAGACCAGGTAATGCCAAAAAGGCTGGAGTAAGTGTTGGGATTTCTGATGAGTTTTCGCCACACCATTATGAGAATGAGTCTGGTCATGACACTAGTAGGTGGCATTGCTGTTGGCTTAGCTTCATGAGCACCAGTCTTTGGGTGAAGCTCAGCCGTGGAGCTCGAACCGAGCTTCGAGAGCACCGGCCCTTCACGATCAGCCCCATTTGGAACCCCTCTATTCCCAAAACTAAACTCATCTCGACCAAATTCATCATAATCTGAAAAAGATAGTACCAATTAATGATACAAAATAAGAATAATGGAAGAAATTTGTTAGCACATAAATTTGATGACTTCACAATCCAACATAGGATAGCCATTAATGGAAATATGTCACCAAATGAGACAAAAAAGACCAAAATTTCAGGGATCATGTACCGAAAAGATATGAACAGTTAGCCCATACTCAGGTCAGGAGCACCTTATTAAGAAAAGGATATAACAAACACAACCCCACCACAGCCCCAACGCAATTGAATAAAAAGGGTTCACAGCAAGGAAGTAAATTTGAATAGAAGCAGAAGCAAATCAGTGAAATTCCTTAGTTTTGAGGTGTTTCAACATGACTAGGCCCACACTTCGGAATGTTACCGAAACAATTTTGATCAATGCTATGTATACCAAAACATTTACTAAAATGCTTGTCATACCAAAACAATTTTGATCAATGCTCGGTCCCACCAAATGCTTTTCATACGACATGGAGTTGTCAATTCAATTATTAAAAGTACTTTTTTGGTAAATCTTTTGGCATGCATAGCATTTTTCAACAATTTTTTACACCATATCTTCCAAGCAAGGTTGATAATTGCACAAACGGGTTCGAGACAAGTCTTTTGAGGTCGTTTTTCATTTTTTTAAATAAGCGTAAAACAATTATTTAAGTTCAGCTCATTTATAATTCGAGTCAAGCCTGAACGAGCACAAAATGAGCCAAATCTGAGCCAAGCCCAAGTATTTACATATAAACGAAACGAATTGAGCTCATTTTCTAAATGAGCCTAAAAAATATTCTGGTAGCCGATTCCAAGTANGAAACAGATTATACCATAACTGGAAATTAGACAGAGGACTTGAATACTATTCAATGTTATCGAACTTATTGTACCTGAACAATTCCAATGTGCAACAGAACACCACGTAGTCCAACAGCGATTGAGGCAGCAGCCATGACCGCAGGACCTGTGACAAATCGAATAGCCATGGAAAAGGCCGCAATCGAGNAAACACAGATTATACCATAACTGGAAATTAGACAGAGGACTCGAATACTATTCAATGTTATCGGACTTATTGTACCTGAACAATTCCAATGTGCAACAGAACACCACGTAGTCCAACAGCGATTGAGGCAGCAGCCATGACCGCAGGACCTGTGACAAATCGAATAGCCATGGAAAAGGCCGCAATCGAGTTGCCACATACAATGATTTTAGGCTGTAATGCCATGAACAAACCTGCGGTTCCACAATAAAATAAATTTCCATGCTGCAAATGAGGACGCAAAAACACATTTTCTCAACCAATACCACCCCGAAAACATGTAGAATAAGAATGAAATACTGANAGGCTGTAATGCCATGAACAAACCTGCGGTTCCACAATAAAATAAATTTCCATGCTGCAAATGAGGACGCAAAATCACATTTTCTCAACCAATACCACCCCGAAAACATGTAGAATAAGAATGAAATACTGAAAGTGGTTATAAAGTCGATATACCAAGACTAAACATAGCCATTCCAAGACCAGCATCAGACAGAATAGATATCGATTTGGCTATTATAGCAGGCATCTGAATACCCCACCTGCAATAGATTAAGAACAATGATGGGAATTGGAAGCATACAAAAAATTGCTTCGAGTCATGTAGGTGATTTGATTTTGCATACTTGTAAGAGACTAAAGACCAGGTAATGCCAAAAAGGCTGGAGTAAGTGTTGGGATTTCTGATGAGTTTTCGCCACACCATTATGAGAATGAGTCTGGTCATGACACTAGTAGGTGGCATTGCTGTTGGCTTAGCTTCATGAGCACCAGTCTTTGGGTGAAGCTCAGCCGTGGAGCTCGAACCGAGCTTCGAGAGCACCGGCCCTTCACGATCAGCCCCATTTGGAACCCCTCTATTCCCAAAACTAAACTCATCTCGACCAAATTCATCATAATCTGAAAAAGATAGTACCAATTAATGATACAAAATAAGAATAATGGAAGAAATTTGTTAGCACATAAATTTGATGACTTCACAATCCAACATAGGATAGCCATTAATGGAAATATGTCACCAAATGAGACAAAAAAGACCAAAATTTCAGGGATCATGTACCGAAAAGATATGAACAGTTAGCCCATACTCAGGTCAGGAGCACCTTATTAAGAAAAGGATATAACAAACACAACCCCACCACAGCCCCAACGCAATTGAATAAAAAGGGTTCACAGCAAGGAAGTAAATTTGAATAGAAGCAGAAGCAAATCAGTGAAATTCCTTAGTTTTGAGGTGTTTCAACATGACTAGGCCCACACTTCGGAATGTTACCGAAACAATTTTGATCAATGCTATGTATACCAAAACATTTACTAAAATGCTTGTCATACCAAAACAATTTTGATCAATGCTCGGTCCCACCAAATGCTTTTCATACGACATGGAGTTGTCAATTCAATTATTAAAAGTACTTTTTTGGTAAATCTTTTGGCATGCATAGCATTTTTCAACAATTTTTTACACCATATCTTCCAAGCAAGGTTGATAATTGCACAAACGGGTTTGNATATACATAATATCATAAACTCCATCCACTCACACGCCCTTCTTTTTGCAAAAAAAAAATACCTTCCTTTTTTGATCCATTTGTTATAATGAGGTTTCATCCTTCTTGTATAACTATTTTTGAGGTTTTATGGTTTTTTTTTTAATTTATTTTTAAAATTATAAAAATTAATTGTTATAAACAGAGACGGTGGCGGGAATGGGGATCAAAATTTATCCGCTAGGCGGGGACGAGGAATAAAATCTTTCTCGCTAATGGGGGTGGACAAATATATTTGAAACAGGTACAAGGGTGAAGACTATTCCCCCCGCCCCAGCCTAATCGACTGCCATCCCCACGAGCAATGCTATTTGTATAAAAAATATTGATAAAATTTGTTGACTCCCATTATCACTGGGTCCCATCATTTGTCAATATTTTTTGTCTAAGTAACGATGCTCTTTCCAAACTAAGAACCCAAGAATTTGGAGAGAGCATCCAATTTTGGGTACTGTATAGTTATGTACTACTTCTTAAATGTTTTTGTATAATATTTGTGAGTTATTTATAATTTTTTGGAATTTAACAATCAATCTGGACACCCACAAAAGTTTATTTTAAACCCAAGAGAATTGTAACTTGTACGGTAAAATTTGTAACATGACTCCAAATAGTTATAATGTTTAGAATTGATCATACTTTTTTTTGCTTATGAATACACATAAAAAACTTGTATCTAAGTCCCTAAAATTTATAAACTTTAGTATCTTACTTTTTTCGACGTTGAAGTCACATCCCTATGTTTGTCATTAGAGAAAAATAGAAAATGGCATCCCCACATGATCGAATCAAGGAAGATCACTCTGCATTTAAAGACTTTCTTGTTGGATATTGGGAATGAAATGCAGGCAAAATAAACAGTTATGGGGAATATTTGCTACTGTTTCTCCCCCCACTCTTCTTCTTCTTCTTTTTTTTTTTTCTGGTGTTTTTAAGTGGACGGAGTTTTCTCCTTCATTAACAAAACTCATGCACCGGCGAAAATAATAGTACTATGCCAACCTAGAGAGGTGACTAGTCTAGAAGCTCAGGCCTGCTCACCCAAGCTACCTACCATGGCTTCTGGGAACAGCTACAGGCTTAGACTACGGTATTAAAATACAAAATTTTACGTACATAACTCAATTATTCTGTCTCACCATGTCGTTGCTTAAAATGGTAGACAATATTATTCTTAGTATGAAGAAATTAATTTTTAATGTAGTATTTCGACTGATGAACACTTGTCATTGCTCTTAGTTCGAGCTATATAATATTTAAAACGGAAAAATGTATCCACGTGGTTGAAGCTTTAAAGAGTCAAGCTTTCAAGCTATCCCTACATCGAAAGTTAGAATATTAGGACCCAAATACATCCTCAGTACTTGTAAATGAATTTCAGTTATGCCTTAGAAGGAGTACAATTAGTTAGGAGCGATATAGGCTAATGACGGATAATTTTTTTCATATTGTCTCCTAAACAATTATGTTGTTCACATTGTACTCTCGACTATGAGATTAGTTACAGTGGGGGCAACTGTCCTCACTAGAATTTTAAAAATTTTTGAGAACTAAGTATAATTTTAAAAATTTTAAAATTTATTAAAGATTTGTCCCCACTGAATTTTTTTTAAAAGATTTATAGGTATTTATGATATTTTGACAAATATATGGGTCACTTATAAATGTCAAAAAAGTTCCTTTAAAAGGCTAAATGCCTCCATTTTGTGTTAGATTAAATTATTTTAATTTGGTGTTTTGAAAAATTTTATTGTGATTGGTTAATTAATTCTTATACTAAAGTTTAGCTTAATAGAATAGTTATAATTTATATTTGTTTCGATTGGTTGTTAATACTCAACTATATATGATTGAATCAAAATTTTTTGTTAGGTGATTAGGTCTTATAGATAAATTTATAATAAACTTTTTTTTGTTGGCTCTTTTTATATAGGGCTCATGTATATGAGTTGTTACTTTAATTGACGTTCTATTAACAAAATGATACTTTTGTGGACATTAGTAATTTGGAAAGATTTCAAACATACTTTCTCTAGTTTATCATATCTTCAAAGACACCCCCCTCTATTTTCTAAATCTTCAATGACACCCCTGTCATATTAAAAATATTAACTAAAATGCAATTTTACTAAATTTCTTCCATTATTCTTATTTTGTATCATTAATTGGTACCCCTGTCATATGAGTGACTTAGTGGCTCATGTTATGCACATAGATGAAAGCTCATTTTTTAAAACAAACTAGATTAATCGTTTCATTCTTCTTCTT